AGAACTAAATCAAGCGCTAAATTAAGAGCTCGGTTAAAACTAAACGAACATCAGATGTTGGAATGTTCATTCGCGCAGCACAATACTACACGTATATTTAGGAACCTATTTCATTTTTAACACATAAAGATTTTGACGTGAAAAATTGTAGCCGTTTGTTAATAACGAACTATACTGTAAATGAAAAGCCTGTAAGTTTTGAATGGAAATTTGAAGTCTGAGCCATGCATGAACAAAATGTACTTATACATTATTAATAATACTTGCGGTGCATTTCAGTTCTAGTCCCTAGCCACTTTCGGATGACAGCCACACAGATCAGAGGCAATCGTACATCACCTGTTGAATGGAATATTTTTGTACGCACCTCCCATGAATGAAATAAATTACTGAAATAATCAGCATACCACGAACTTCTCGTACATTGAACGCTCGCCTCATCCTGCGTAAGACCGCGTCCTGCTCCTGCATGTTACTTCCTTTGTTTCTGGCTGTAAGTGGAGCGGCATTTAACTACAAACCTGTTGTTTTATCTCATCAATAAGGCACTCAACATCAGAACCGGTTCTCAATCTAGCTCGGTTCTCCTTGCTTTGATCGCCGGTTGTTCACCGGGCAAACTCATTGCATACCGGGATCTCTGGTTCCGTAGAACCTGGGCTTGGTTCCGGTTAACCTTACCCAGCAGGCATCTGACGTTGAAACAACATTGATTATTGGTTGATTTCAGGTTGAAATGTTGAACAACCAAAATTAAACGTCATATCAACGTACATGAAAGATGTTGCTTCAATTTTCATTCTAAACCTCCTTTCACCCCGATCTCAATGTCGTAATGCGTAGTTGATTCAACGTTGATTCAACCACCGAATGCCTGCTGGGATAGTGCTTTTACCTTAGCATAAACAATTTGTATTGCAAATATCAGTATCTTAATACGTGAAACTGAGTCTTGATTCAATTCAGTCTTAGATTTTATCTCGTCAAATTCACACTTGCTTACTGTGACATCGCATCCATCGTCTATTTTATAATATAGGTCTGCCATCATATTTTTGGTGTCTTTCGAGATAGGCCGTTTCTGAAAAAGTATGACGTTGAATGTTTCTCGCTATAAAATATTTGTTAAGGGAAGAAATTATTTGTTCCACAATAATTTGATATTAAAACTGCATAAACGGCCAGAGTTCAAAATTACATTGATTTACAAGCCTAAGAATGACTCGTGGCAGTAGTTTATCAGCGTCACTGTGCTGCGTGGAAGATAATCAAGTTGCTGAGAACAAATCTAATGAAAAACAAATTCTAAGTCATCGATCTTCATGCGTGTCAGGCGTGTTTGTTGCAATCAGCGAAACGTGGAGTTTGGAATTCCGGGTTAGCGATGTTCGTGCCTGAAGTCGAGGACGGCGCTGGTGAATTAATGGAATTATATACAGAGATAATATATAGGTTCGTTAGCAGGCGAAGCTTGCGTGAGTATTTCCTCAACTATATAAAAGAGTGAAACGTTTGTTCGTAAAGAATCGTGATTATTCTCCAGTTATTTTTAAAAAGTGAATTAATGTTTTGTATAAATGTTGCATGGCTTGCTGTGTTGGGTGGAGTAAAAATTGGGGGTTTCCAACTTTTTTGTTAAAAGTGTATATCCAACAGCGAAATTTTTGGTGACTTGATGTTCGAAAATACTATTAGTAAAATTTCATCTCACATTATATATTTATATATTCAGGTGACACCAACACCTTGAACATTATAAGAAATGTAAAGGATAATATTGTAGAAATAATTTTCAACAAATATTTCAATATTCTGAATGCAATAGTGGTATTTTTCAGAATGCTAATTCGAAAATAACGCACTAGAATTATTTATTGGTAGTAATGCGTCTTGAAGTGACGCCAGCCTTTTACAGATTTATGAAAATATGCAAAATGAATATGTTACATATTACGTACTGAAGAGGTATACTATATTTCGGGTTCCATCTTAGTCTAATTTTTCCAAAAGAGCAAAATCATCGTAAGATGAAACGTCACGACGAGTGCTTTCATTGTAAGATGAAACCTAACGTTTCGAAACGAAACGTATTTTTTCGAGTTCATTGTCACAGGAATAGGACCTTACTTCCGTTCCAATCCATCAATATGGAAGATGAAGCTTGAGAGGCTAATTTAATGTACATTTATTCAGCTTGCGTGGAGCAGAGAAATTTAAAAAAAGATTACTCCTTTTTATATAAATTACATCAGAAATTGTATAATGAATATCAATGTATGATGCATATCAATGTATTATGCATATCATTAATTGTATGATGAGTATTAAAATTTCGACACTTATTTCAGGAATATTATAGGTTAAGACAATATTTCTTGAAACATCTCACGTGATCCTTGGAAACATTTTCAACCTATAATAAATTAAAATTGAATTATAGTTAATCGAATGATACTGCAAGTTTTCTGGATAAAAAACTCGCAAAAGACGAATTTTATTTCACTAAATGAATGAATGTTTGACACTTTAATTCAACTTTCAAGATAGATCATTCGTCTTTAAAATATATCGAGCGCCGTTTCGTGAGCAAGAACGCAATTCAGTTTGAAATCAAAGAGTAGCATAAACATTCATGTTGAACGCAACTTTTCTGCATCCTGGTGTGGCAAAAGTAATGGTAAATTCTCTAAATTAGCTTTAATTTATTTTTATAATGTGGGACATTTAAATTAATTGTGCAGGTTAAACCTTTGGGCCAGAAGTTCTTCTCTCAAAATTTGATATAAGGTGACAATGAATTAATTCGTCGGCACGTAGTTGACAGATGAACCAAAGAAGTGGGGCCATACTTTCAAAACTCGCTAAGTGAACGTAAAAACTTACGCTCTATTTTCTTGTCTATGATTGGTGGATTTGGCTTGACAGGCCGTCAATGATTGGCTGATGAATATATGATCTCTTAACTTTTTTTGAAAGTATAGGCACTGGCTAGTAAAATGTCACTCGATCGATCAATCGTAATGCTCGTCTTTTGGTGCGTTTGTTTCCTGCAAAGCCGTCACAACAACTATATAATTATCATTGAACAACGGAAAATAATATGATAGTTTGCAATTTTTGCACAACTGGTTTTCATGCATATATAGTCACTAGACATGGCGGCGCGCAGTGACTGCAAAATTTGTCAGATCTTCCTATGTATTTTCAATGGCGGTATTTAAATAAGATACTTTCAAATCGTTCTAATTTTGCCTATTTCTATCTGAAATTGATCTCAAAAATTACATTTGTTTGTTATTGCTTGCCATCGAATTTACCGATAATATGGCAGAAAATTTTCAGAAAATCACAAAAGCAATTTTCCCATCCACAAGCAGCTCCGCGGCACCGCAAGATATCGTTAATGTTTATGATAATTTATGCACACAATGTTGAATAGCATTGCACTATGAAATTGCTTTAGAAACTCATTCTGAAGACAATTTTTGCTTCAACTAATTTTGAGTGAAGAAATATATAAAATATAATATATCTAGAAATATCACCCGCTGAACCTGACAAATAAAATTAGGACGGTAATACCGATGCCTAATTAAACTTTCGTCAATAGCAATTTATAAAACACAAAGGGTGCAAAAACTTCTAATAGAATTTGTACAATGTTCCTTACTGTTGCAGTAATACTGAAATTTTTGTCATGGATTTTGAACTTTATCTAAATTTTATAAATTTGTGTGAAATATTTTTGTAAAACTAAGAACTTATTTCTTGGAAAAAATGTTGAAAATCTTTATGCGAAGTTACTGAACTTCTAGATAACCGGGACATTTAGACAGGCAAAAAATTTCATACGAAAGGATATAGTCCAGAATTAAGAGCTTAAATTTGTTGAACAGGCTCAATAAATAATTGAATTTTGTGAACGATGTTATTCTCTGGAGGTGAAAAATGTACGAACAATACTGAAGGCAATCAACGAAGAATAGGTTCCTTGCACTAAGTTCTAGCTGATGATTAGATGGAACTTCATTGTCAGAGATGCTGTTGTTAATAAGGATCATTAGGTTGTCGGTGTTGCAATGCAGAATATAATAGTAACAGAGGATGGGAGAGTGTGTTGCACCTCACACTGACACGCTGCAAGGGAGGGGCTGCAGCACCTCACACTGACACGCTGCAAGGGAGGGGCTGCAGCACCTCACACTGACACGCTGCATGGGAGGGGCTGTACAACGTCACACTGGCACGCTACAAGGGAGGGGCTGCAGCACCTCACTCTGACATGCTGCAAGGGAGGGGCTGCAGCACCTCACACTGACACGCTGCAAGGGAGGGGCTGCAGCACCTCACACTGACACGCTGCATGGGAGGGGCTGTACAACGTCACACTGGCACGCTACAAGGGAGGGGCTGCAGCACCTCACTCTGACATGCTGCAAGGGAGGGGCTGCAGCACCTCACACTGACACGCTACAAGGGAGGGGCTGCAGCACCTCACACTGACACGCTGCAAGGGAGGGGCTGTACAACGTCACACTGGCACGCTGGGATGGGCTCAAGGTCGATGTCTACGTAGCATATCCTGGTAAAGAGTTCTATTTATTAGTCGTTCTTCGACAGCAACACGGTATAGGATGATGGCAATACGGTATAGGATGATGGCAACACGGTATAGGATGATGGCAATACGGTATAGGATGATGTACTATGTCTAAACTGTCATCCTCAGGTTTTTTCTAAGACTGTGTTTGAACAAAAGGCTTGAAAATATTTTGCCGTTTCGCGAGTGTTGTAATATTTCTATTTTTTTCCGATACTAGACATATGGACGTTTTCAACCCTTTGAATACTTTTAAATTCAAACAATAATTTCAGTCACTCTTCTTGTCGCATTGCCAGGTCCAACTAATTGGAATTAATTTAATTTTTTTTTCAATGTTAAATTTATTGAAAAATTTGCTCGTCGCAGTGCTTTAATCGACGTAGATTAGTATATTAGTGGACGGTGATGAAGAGGATTACCATTACATTGTTATTTCTAGCGAAATTAGTTGCTATTCTCTGTTAGCATAGGATTTTCAGGTCTGAGATCAGTTAGTCATTGACCCTGTGCATTGATTGGTGTAGGACTGAAAATGTTAATTAGTTAAATCAAGATGTGAATCCGATGTCTGCGTTTTTTAGTTCCTCTGTGATTTAAGATGTGACTTCGACCGCTAGGAACAATGTCAGAGTCGGGCGAGAATAGCTATGGCTTATCATGCTCCTCCTCTGAGCCGTCATCAAGTAACCGAAACTTTTGGAGCCGGTGACCCGGAGAAAGCTGCGCCTAGTGGACACCAGTCGAGTTACGGTTTAGTGCAACGCAATAACATAGAAATTAGGGTTAATAGAACCATTTCGACCAGGCATAGAATCAACATAGTCAAGAATGAGTCATTCTCCCGAAACGGAGGTAGGCCTTTAGATTTCCTAGCCCCTGGAAGGTCGTTCGGAAATTTCAAGAGGTGTGTTAAATACGGTGAAGATGGAAACGAATATTCCGAAGAGGAGGTCTTTAGAAATTCAGACCTCAAAGGTTCATCATTTGTGCATGAAAATGGGAAGGAAAATGTATTGGAGGCCAAAGTGTCTAAACCAAAGCCCAGCAGAAGTTTTCTGGAAAGAATTCTGGGGCACAAGAAGAAAAAGACGTCGACCGCCATTATTGATGTTCGAGAACATAAAAAAGATGGACCAGTTGGCAACGGACGTTATCCTGGTTCTTCAGAAACTCCAGTTGGCATCCAGTCATCTAGCCATGGATCGCATATGGCGCACCATGATGTGAATAAAGAATCTGTAATTTGGGAAAGACTTAGTAAAGGAAGTATATTCCAAAGCCCGGCCACATCTTCGTTCCCCGGAGCTGCTATAAGCGCTGTTCCAAATGAATTGAAAACAGAAGTGAAGAGAATTGACCGAGGCGATCCTAGGCGAAAAGCGCTTAGCCGCTCCCATGATAGAAAATTCGACCCTGGTCTCAAAGCTCGACGGTCTCCGGAAAGAACTTTCAACGCAGTACCTGATAACAGTCACAGCCAGTCGACTCGGGCGAGTGATCGTCAGTCTAGCCCAAACCTTCAAAACAGTCAATCAATCAGTGACCGAAACCATAGTGAATCACTGGAAGGTGATTTTAGTCCATCTCGTAAATCTAGAAAATATCGACCAGGAGACACAAATCCTTGCTACAAACGCTTTGACCCAGACCACTCCCCGCGTAGTCGTCGAGTGGTCCATGATCTGAACCACGAAATTCACCGTAAAGTTTTGAAGGAGACTTACGACCCCAGACTCAATAGGAACCCGGGTTTGTCTTCGCACCAAGCTTCCATCCCCGGTTCTAGTACACACGCTGGTCCCACGAATCCGCCTAGTTTCCGTCAGTACCGACGAGTTAGGAAGGACGTCCGAGATCAGCAAGGTAGTCATGAATATAAAAGCTCACACACCAGCAGTGGGAATCGGCGTCCCAAAGACGATCATCACCGGAGAAGAAGCAGGAGGAGTCATCGCTCCAGCAGAGGTAAGGCCCAATATGACTCGCTCCAGCTGACTCTCCAACTTGATTTGACGTCGTTGATTGTACATTCCGGGAATTGAATAAAATATTCGACGTATTAGGCAAGGAAATAAATTCACTGCAGGCAATATTAATCAGGTGGTAGAATTTTTTGCGTAATTCATTGTTGTATTTTATTAAAAATCTGTCATAATCTTGAGATATATTCAATTCAAGTATCGTAGAGAAGTTAGTTTACGATACCATGCCTTAAATTCTAGTTAATTCTTCATTTAATTCATTTCTTGGTTTGTGATGAATGGTGCTGAGTTCTTCAACAGAGAGGAATTTGATCGTTTTGATCGTATGCGATATCTCAGAAAATGGATTGCTTCGTAATTGAGTTTACAGTGTCATAAAGGACGTATTACATATTAATTTATGATAAAGAATATTCTACCTGTTTATCCACTTTCGATATCTTACAACTAGTAACTCGCGTTTTGAAGTAAACTAGTTCGTTGGGGGACATGTGTACTCCGAAACCGCTCTACGTAATCCTAAAAACATTGTAGTCTCACCTGTCAATTTTGGGATCAGCGAACTCTTGGTGTGGTTCGCTCGCTCAGGGAGCGCGAAAATCTGATGAACGCTTCTCCTTTACTTAGCTTTCCGCTGCATGCATGGAGGTCCATACCTTCGGGAAATAAAGGGCGGGTTTTCAGTGGACTTTCGAAAGCTGATATGCGGCCGTTCATGAGACGACAATTATTCATTTACCGTGTAAGCAACCTCAACCAACCCCCATCTCGCGTGTTAATTTTATCCAGGAAAGCCTACAATTTCGGGGAGTTTTTACCGGTAGCGACAGGCACATCGTGTTACTTCCGCGCCCAAGAAGTGTCGAGTCATTGCAAGGGAAGAAGATAGTCTGATGAAGACGGATGGCGCAGACCCACCTGCTAATTGTTCCAGCCTTGCTCACTTAGCTCAAGTTGAGGTGCGGTGGTCGCGCTAAAGCCATTCCTCTCTGTAGCGAAGGAAATCTCAAAAGGCCTTGTGTCCTTTTCATTAAATATTTTTGAATAATGATGTTCGGAGGCTTGTATTAGTACTGAGTAATTCCAACCTCCAACGCTTGTGATATATATCATTCCTATGATTTTCGCAAACTTATTTATGAAACATACTGAATTCATTTCACTGTAATGCCACACTCCATCGCTTTTTGACTATCCACCGATAATTTCTGTAATGTCTCTTTAATGCCACACTCCATCGCTTGTTAACTTTGCACTGAACATTTCCGTAGTGTCTCTGCTACACTCCATCCCTTCTTGACAATGCACCGAACATTTTTGTAGTGTCTCTGTTACACACCATCGCTTCTTGACTATGCCACCAAACATTTCTGTAGTGTCTCTGCCACACTCCATCGCTTCTTGACTATGCACCGAGCATTTCCGTAGTGTCTCCGTAATGCCACACTCCATCGCTTCTTAACAATGCACTGAACATTTCTGTAGTGTCTCTTTAATGCCACACTCCATCGCTTCTTGACTATGCACCGAACATTTCTGTAGTGTCTCTGTTATGCCACACTCAATCGCTTCTATCTATGCACCGAACATTTCTGAAGTGTCTCTGCTAAACTACACCGCTTTTTGACTCTGCACCGAACATTTCTGTAGTGTCTCTGTAATGCCACACTCCATCGCTCGTCTCGGCCTAAACATCGGGAGCGGTGACTTCTTCTCACCGGACGTCAATGAAGCGATCCATAAAATTCGACAATGGGCCGTAAAGAGCGAGCCACTGGAGCAGCAACGACGCCGAAGACAGATGCGCTCCTCAGGCTTACATTCTTCACAATTTACTAGCTTGGTGAACAAATATTTCTTCTCTTCGGTGGAGGATATAATTGAGCATAAAAGATAAAGCGTCAGCCATAAAGCAGAGACAGTGTGAGCTCTGGAACGATAAGATAATTAAATAATAATGCACTATAGGAGCTCTACGAACGATTGAACGGACTTGCTCTCGCATGTGGGGAGTTTTCAATACATGTGTAATAATTTAAAAATTTTAAATGATGTTCTTGGGAATCGTTTCTTCACCTTAGACAGAATGTCTGCATGTTATTGCCCTAAGTAAGCCTCTAAATTGAAGAGTTTTTGGCTGCTTCATGCCGAACGCAATTTTTAAAACAAGAAACGTCTTCGCAGAATTGAATTTAATTACGGCGTTAGTGAATCTCATCACAGCGATGTGTATTCAGTTACAACCTCTTATCATCGATGTATCTTGAAACGAGTAGGATTAACACTGGAAATCTTCATTATAGTTGAAATTAATACTAACGTTACATATATATTTCGATATTGTTGCCGATATTGAACAGTATTATGATAAATTACATTCATGTAGTGGAATAACCATTCAACTGCATCCTAATTTTGAACCAACAAATAGCTTAAAAGTACGAATTCGAATATTTTAGTGCTTTTGCGTGTTATTCATCCACAACTCGTACAATTTTAGCGTGAAAAGAAGCCGATTTGTTTTGTTAAGTTTTCAAATGCCAATATTTATCGGGCAAGAATATCGATACGCTGGTATTTCTCCAAAGCAAAGGGGAATTTATTATAAGTTAAACTTCAGCATTATCCTACACTTGCTGAATGTAACTTGAAACTAAAACTACAGAAGTATGTAAGAACACTTCACTGGAATCCACTTCCGTTTTGACATGGAAAGCGAATGTCACTTTGAAGCACAGTAATAAACTGAGCTTAGGAGGGCCGTGTGACAATTTTGCTAAAAATTCTGATTGCTACCTACCGAAGTAATAAAATTCCAATCGTGGACAACGCTCTGCCATTTCATTACAAGTTTGAAATTCCTTAAATGGTGGTCGTTGAGTGTAGAATTCGCCGATGGCGAGCATTGCACTTACACATTTTCGATTTATTCCTGTCAGTATTTTTGGAATTTGACAAAAAAATTTTCTTTCAAGTCAAGCGTTTTAGGTTTACCCACATTTCTGGTAGTTGATCCTTTACGCGGTTGCCTGAGCGACAAGACGATGATAATTTTAATATATAAAAATATGTTGTCTAAATACTTTTAATTTTGGGCATTTATCACATTTTGAGTGATTAATATTTTGTATCTTTAAATTCGCGTCGAAAATCTATTTTTATTTCATGATCTGTTTTCCAAAAACTTCCCGCTCTATTTTACAGCAGACGATTAATTATAACGTCGTGGTCAAGTTGACACAATCTAAATTATAGAGATGGCGGTTGAAGTTTTGGCATCTGCCAAAAATGTGACGTGTAGTTTTAAAAAAAACTTGCTTGCGTTCTGTGTTGGTCCAAACATCATTGTGAAACCTTGAATTGCTATTAAGGATCTACCCGACCATTAGTTCGCAATTTTGGTGTTCACAACAAGTTGAAGTCTTCTGGTTGATCTGACTTCAAAAGATCTCCATTTAATAAGAAGTTAGTCGTCACGGATACAAATTGATTTGCACGAGTTATTTCTTTTCACGGGCTTGAACTAAAATGTTCAAGCACCCCAAAAGTTGACCATCAAATTAATTGTCGTCGTTTTCAATGTTCAACTTTCGCCCTCGTGAAAATGTATTTCGAATTGAAAGAAAAGCGATTGGCGGTAAATTAGATATGAAAACGCTTTATACTCGAAAATTTCGAGCTCGAAAATAAATATTGGACTACTAAAATGTTATAACTTACAACAGACTTTAAAGCTCAAAAAAAGCAAACAAATGAAATTTCAGTCATTTTCCAGCGACCAGATACATGTTCTTGTTTAACGACCCTCATAATCTTGGGAATTAATGTCTTTATTTCAACTTCATTTGAGGTTTTCCCTCTCCATTATTTGTTTGGTCATTTTCAGCCATGAAATGACGTACCTTGCTACGAAGCGTAACTCAATTTTTTTATGGAAACCAACATGCAGTTCCATGGTATCGGGATAATTTAAAGCTACCGCTGAAATCAAATTCGCCAGCGGCTGATAGTTTCTCTGTAATTTTGTTGATTGTACGTTTGATGGCTCGGGTAAATTAAGGTCAAGGGCCTATTGAACACGGATTGTCGGGTGTGAGCCGTGGTGTGAGTGTTACTGAAATGCACCATTTTAACCCTTTGTCTACGGATAAATGTATCGTCGTCAATGCTATTATTATCCAAATAACTGGCAACTAAAGGTACCGTTAGTAAACAAAGGGTAACCTTATTATAATCAAGTTCTTGGAACTCAGAAAAAATATTAAGTCACTAACAAAGTGCCGGAGAAAAACGTGGGAAATTTAAAATGATTCAAGAAATTCATAATTAGAAGTTCATGCGCCACACCTGCGTACGGCCTGTCACCGTTTGTACATAAAACTACCTGTTTAATCCGGCAGTAGTCGAGTAATATCATCCTTGAGCTGCTTGAAGACCCATTCAATATCATAAGTCTGCACTTAAGAAATATTACCAAATTATAATAGGAAATAGGTGCGGAGAACAGGCACCGAGAACTTCTATTCCGATTACAACGACGCCATATAGTACTCATTTCCTGAGAAAAGTTCCGATGTAGAACTCCGTGGCCGAGTCCAGCGCCTTAAATTAGTCAAAGAGACGATATTGGACTACGTGACTGAGTCCAGCGCCTGCATTACACTCTTGCTGAATCTGAGAGTCGAGATTGAACTGCGTGTTCGAGTCCAGCGCCTGCATTAAACTCTTGCTGAATCTGAGAGTCGAGATTGAACTCCGTGACCGAGTCCAGCGCTTGCCTTAAACTCTTGCTGAGTCTGAGAGTCGAGATTGAACTCCGTAACCGAATCCAGCACCGGCATTAAACTCTTGCTAAATCTGAGAGTCCAGATTTAACTCCGTGACAGAGTCCAGCGCCGGCATTAAACTCTTGCTGCATCTGAGAGTCGAGATTGAATTCCGTGGCCGAGTCCAGCTCCTGCACTGAAGTTTGCCAGGATTCAAGTAGGCATGCAAGAGCCAACTGGGAGTTTGCGTCCAGCGAGGCTGGACGGGAAGAGCTAACCGCACTTCCCCATTAGGGAACCAATGTCAGATAATGGAAATCGCTGCTGGTCTTCAATTATGACTCAGCTGCGTTTTATAACGTAAGAGATTTTTGCTGGTTCAGAAGCTTCTCCATAAGACAAGACAATGATGATTTTTTTCATCTGGAAATGTTACTGAGCTGCATGACACATGGTGTCCGTTCAATTTCGATGTTGAAGTTGAATTGAGGTGGCAAATTTTTTCCCATATTTTTGAATCGTTTCAAAAACAATTTTATGCATTGTTTATCAAATTTTTAAAAATTAAGAGCTTGTCATACTTTTTCACGAATTTAAATTTCATATCGAGTTCGATTTTAAGAACGTATTCATGATTAATTTTTCATTAGCATGTCTCTCTTTCTTGTGTGTCACATATCGTCGTTTATATCGTGGATTAAAACATTTTTATAATCCTGTACAATGCGTACATGTATCGATAAATATTATCGGCATTAATAAAATTGAAAATTGCACTGATTCTGCCTGGCAACGTTCTTTTTTTTTAATTGTACCTATTAGCTCTTTTTCGATATTGAATTATTTGAATGGCACTTCTAGTTGCTGCAATTGCACTTTTTGATCAACACTTGTATAGTAATTTTAGTGTGTAACAAATTTTTAGGCTAAATCAGGCAATTTTTCTACAAGAGTATGAACCCTGTAAAACAAAAATGCCACAAAAAACGCAGAATTATTTTCGCTATTATTTAACAAACTTTCAGGAAATATTTGAGTGCTCGTCGCTAGTTTTACCAAATCGAAACTTAAAAGTTGTTTGAAATTACTTCATAATTATCATACGCTTCGACATGACAAATGACGCTAACTCTGACCTATGAACCTGCTTTCTGCAGCTGATGCTTAGCATGCGGTGCAACGATAGTATCTCGGACCGATGACTAGCTATGTGAAGGACAGACGAATATTTCATGCTAAACTTAAACCTCAATATGTTATCCACGGAACTTCTGCGGCCGATGGTCCGCCGCCTCAGTTTTGATTAAAGTTCCTGACGGGATCATTGCTGGCAGTGTTAGGTTGTGCGTGATGGCCATTGCTCCAGCTCGGTAATGGGAGTCGTAGATCGGACATGAGGAGAACATTTGGTCGGTCGCAATCACCACGGCTCATCACGATTGAGCGTCGGGAACGGCGATCTTATAGCGTCTTTGTAGCGTAGCGTTCGCTGTAAACCCATCGGTAAAATTGCTTGCGCGTTATCGGTGGCCGTTCAATGCTCGGTTTTCGATCACAATTTAATGATATACGATAAGATGCCACTCAGCATTCGATGATCGTTGGTCACACAATGTCTGATTATTCAGTGTACTGCCATCGCTGATGACCTTTATACTTCATCACGATCATAAATAAATATTTTAAAACTATTTGCTATTCTCAGCAAATTGACGTTCCATCATCAGGTTTTTAACTTTCATTTACGAGTGGCTTCAGCTGCTGCATCAGAAATGTTGCAACTAACACTTAATTTCTTTATTCTTTATTGGTAATTAGTCGTTTCGTGAAGTTAACCGAAACGTTTCTTTAAGAATTATGCAATTATGATTCCAGACGACATTCGTTTCGTCATATTGACATCGACTCAGAACTCCGCCGTGAAATGAGTCTCTAAAGTCTAAATGTTTCTCTTTCATGTGACTTATTGAGGCTGGAGAACGATGTTCCTATGGGCGTTAACACTTACGCTTTTGCCCTCGCCCATTTAGCCCGTAGTCCTAGTACATTTATGGCCCGTTATCATGCATACCTGTGTCTTCATTAGCAACAGGTCGATTAGGTTCATGTGCTTTCTTTGGTTCTCTCTTTCATCTCGAGAAAATCAAGTTCTTGCTGCAGAACCTTGACAATAACACTGTTAAGATCCTTAATGTTGCCTGTATTTCAGGTTGGAAGGCGAGGCCTCAAAAATTTGTTAGGTTAGCTATATGCTTTGTGTATTTTATAGACTGTATAGGAATGCCTCATAATACAACGTATCGCTGAGGGCAAAATTAAATTATTTTTTTTCCTTTCATTCCTGAGAATGCGGGAATTATCTTTCACAACATCCATTTGTATCAATCGAATACTCATTTTAATTTTTTAGTAATGCCGAAATGCATTTCGAAAATAAATGCAGTGGTCCATTACGTACTGTCATGTTCTTCATTTTAGTTAGCAAAGTTGATCATAAATTTGGGAAATTTTTCCTCCATACAATAATAAGTCTGTTACTTGTTCCCAATTGTTTGGGTTCAATTTTCTCATCGACAAATATAATTTATTTCAGTTTACTTAACGTTGTAATCAGTAACGAAAAACATAAAAAATGATGTGATTGCATTTTGCGTGTAAAATTGATCGTATGAATTTTATTATTTTTACGGTAAAGAACAAGATAGCTCGCAATTTAAAGAAACGGTGCGTAGCTTTTAAATAAAGACCAAGATAGATTTTCATTCTAATACACACGGTTTCAAAAGTAAACTTGTGTGGCGAGTGCCAGTCATACACTCCTTGCTAGGTTGCGGATCTAAGTTAATAGTAGGCTTTCCTGAAATGCTTTAACAGCGGAGATGGCTTGAAAGGCTTTATTAAATGAATGATTGGATAATCGTAAATGGAGCCTGTAGAAATGGATCGTATTTTCGATTATAATTAGTGTGGAATTAAAAATACGAAATAACCGCGGCACGAGAACTTTTTGCAATAATTACAATAGATTTACAAAGTGCACCTAATGAATAATATGAGCCTCCTGTCCGGTGCTTGCCTCGAAGAAAGTAAATTAAAAGGCTACGTAAATACTTGACATGAATAGCGTTGTTTTACTAATTGGAGAACGTTGTTTTGAGTTGTATCGCCAGATCAAAGGGAAAGTTATTATTTAATTCAAATTGACATATTCTTAATTAGCCACACAACAGTCTCAGCGATAAAAAAACGTAAAAGCAACCTGGAAATTTACTTCAGACGCCGCAATTTTTTCAATAAGAATTTTTAATGACATACATATACCGGTTACTGGTGCGTCAAATATTGTCTTGTTATAACAACAACAAGATTTAACAACAAGGTTTAAATTAGTTAACAATTCTTTCTCACTCATAACCAGTCTTGGATAATGTAGACTCTGTGTAGGTCGGCGGCCGACCGTCGGCCATCTATAGAACGCATCGGCCTTCTATATTTTTTAATAAAATTTCAGTGTTGACCTCCACATTGCGAGGTCGTTCGATAACATCGGCTAATGACCGTTGCCGATGTGATGGGGTGCGGCTGACGCTAAATACTTTCACTATTGAGAATCATGGCAGCGTTATGAGATGCCAAACCCTGGCCGGCCTTGTCCCTCCCATAGCAACATCCTTTAGAGGAATGGTCCAAGGCAGCACAAAGGAACGATGCTGTTGGTCAGCAGACGTTGGAAATATCACGCTAATAATCGACACAATTTAAACGGCAACACTGAAGGATAAAAGTTTCTTAGGATATCAACCATTGATTTTCACGAGAGAAGCAGTTGCTGGGGTGGAAATTTTTCAGACGTACCCTGTAAAATTATGACTTGAAGTGAAGCCCTGGGACGAACAGGTCAATTCTACCGATTAATTTTTATGCGTGATGTAATTAGAAATGATGGGCAAGTTGAAAAAATCTCGCCAAGAAATTGAATGAATTTGAACTGGGAGGTTGAAAGGCTGAAACAATCGAAGAATAGTGAGGAGGATTGCACCTTTGATGCTCCAGATGGAGCCTTGAAAACCGATTGAGTTAATTCATTAATAAAAAATCTATCATAGTTTCACACAGTTTTAAATATTTTTTTCTCGATCTACCTATTCCATTCATATATAACTTCTTACTTGAAAATTATGAATCCAATGAAAAAAAGCAATGCTGGAGAGTATTTACTAATTATAGCGAGATTTATCCATTGATTCTCCTTGTTAAAATTAAAAGACATGGTTTGATAATTTGTAATAAATAATCTCTTGTCGAATTAAAATCCCGTAACAATTCAAGTATATCGTTAAATGTACTTTTTATTCACCTACAAAAATTGTTATGACGTTTTCCCAAGTAGTTATTGAAATTAATTCGATTCTAATTATTAATTGGAAAATTGTCTCTGTTGCAGGCACGACCAGTCACCGCGTCTGGGCTAACGGAGGCTTGCCTCACAAAGCGGACGAAAAGTTCTCAACTTTATCAAGGTAAGTTGAGAAGTTCTACCTTTTGTATTTATATGCAAGTAAAAGAGACTTTATTTGAAAAGAGTCGATATAAAAATTTTGAATTATTTTATTTGTTTGTTTATGTTATCATCCACGAAATATGTTTTGTGGCCGTGCTTCCACAAAAGATCACGGTAATATAGTTCACGTTGTTAAATGCTGGAAGAATTGGCCAAATTCTGGAGTCATGTACACAATATTTTAAGAATTTTGCCTACCGCGTAGTTTAGATTGGATTAAAATCATTCGACAATTCACCTCCGCTGTAATTGATAGTTATATCAAGCAGGATTGCCCGACGTTGCCCAGGCTTGATAATTCCTACAATTTTAGAATCCCGATCCGTTAATAATAATGAAGTGTATTTTTTTTAATATAATAATGAGCGATTCAAACTTACATTTTACATAGGTATAACTCCCATTTTACTCCTATTTCAAAATATAGGAAAAACTATTTGCGTCTTTGATATTAAACTCATATATATGAAGATCAAAATCAAATGTCAATGTTATATCCAAACCTTATCTCTTTTCCCTCCATTAATTTCCTAATCTCCCATTTAGAATGAATATTTAGGTTCTGATACTATCCTGACACGATGAGTATCATGGATACGCCCCCCAACAGCAACTGAATATTTGTAGACCAGGCACACCGACACCACACAAACATACATAAACACACACACACACACACACAAAAAATTAGGCATATAAATAAATGTAAGATTAAAGACCAATGATTCATGAAGACTCATGAAAACCCGGAATTCTTGCCTTGTATTGCGTATAATTTTCAACTGAATTGCATAATCGCAATTCTTTTCATATCGTTCAAGATCTTTCTCGCACAATGATCTAATCGTGATTATTATGACCAAATCAATTATTAGGACTCCACTACTAGATTGTTAGATGATGAATAAATTAAAGTTAGTTAAGCTACAAGGACTTAGTTTTCTTGTACTACTTAATTAAAGGTCAGGGGCTGCACCTCTAAACCGCACGTATTCAATGATTACATCAGTACATCCTAAATATTGACGCTTTCTTCGCTTGCGTAGAAAATATTCACAGAAGACTTCCCTTTTAGCGCTTACTTAATCAAAAGACATTCGACAGCTAATAACATAACAGTGATGCTAAACACTAAACCATAACATAACGCTAAAGAGTAGGCCTGTGGCCTGTTGCCGAAACTTTAATAATAGTTGAGCCTGTCGCCGAATAACTTTAATAATAGCTATAATATTTAGGAAAATTTTGGTAAACAAAAAGGAGTTATATATTGTATATAAATATCTATTTTACATATATTTGACAGGTACAATTGTGTGTTTGAAGCTTGGCGCCACAAATATGTTTGGGCAATTCCATGAATGAATAAACGTGACGATACTGGGATATTATCACATTACACGGATCCGAAATTTCATTTTCTTTTTAGTGTGAGAGTAGGAAAAGATTGAAGGAAAGACAGGAATCTGATCTAAACTCGAACTGCAATTTTGTAATTGGTACATATCTGTTTAATTTTAGAAGAAATGATAATTTTGTCCCTATTAACACTAGAAAGTCAAATGATAGTTCTATGTAAAATTCGATTTTAAACGGTTATTTACTTAATCACCTCACATTTGCTTCAATATTATTAACGGAATAAGAGGATTTAAACTTACAGGTATTATCGGGCCAAATCAAGACTAGACCAGAAATTATTTAAAGTAATCATTTTGGGCTATTGAGGTGTGTAACTTCCTATTTACACCTATTTTATTGGAATATTACTGGGACTTTTAATATTTACGAGAAGTAACACCTTGGTCTAAAACCACAGAATTTTTTTCGTAAAGCTTTCTCTCTCAATTGAAGCAGAATAATTTATAAAAAATTCTGAAAGTTATCGCTATGTTGAATGTGGGTTAGAGCTTGTCATTCTAGAGATAAAGAGACTCTAATTTGTGATTATAAACGAAGGTCGGAGTATCGTAGTCATAAACCTTTGTTTTAGGCATCTCGAGCCTCACCTAGCTAGCTGCTAGCTTCGTTATATACCGTATATCTTCATTGATGATTATAATTTTGCGCAGCCACTCAACAAATTTTTCTCAGTGATTTTTCAAGATTCAGCGTATTTGTTTCATTGTTATGAATTCTTAGGTTCATCATTATATACATTCATTATTCAAATAAATTACATTGGAATTTTGAGAAAGTATTTTGAATTGATTTCTAGTCATTAAGTTTCATAATACTGAACAAATACAGATAGTTAAATGCATTTGACATTAGTTTTGAGTTCTATTACGCTCGTTCTAAGAAGTCTAAAAATCGATCACACTCGCAAGTGATGAATTCCATTCAGTCTCAATCTCAAATGACGGATCAGTCATCGGAGCTCATCACATTCATCATTGGCAACAATATGATTCGAGTTTTTTCTGCATTAATTTTGCACGTGTGGAGCGACCTGTGATGTGTATTTTTCAAATTGAAAAACTCCCGATGATTTTCTAGTGACAAATTTTCTTTCATTTCTGAACACAATAAGCGAGCAGAGTTGGTCGGTGATTGAAAAGAATTGGAAACCGAGATTGAATGTTTTTTCTCATCAGAGGTCGTATGTTCTCATAAATAATAATTGAATGATATTCCAAAGGGCGGAAAATTCGTGCGCATGAGATAAATTTGTTTTTGAGGCCGATTACTTTGCAGGGGATTGTAAAAGAAAATATTGATTATGAAAGAAATGTACCCTCGTTTGAAAACTAATCGCTCTTATCAGAACTTCAGACGCAACTTGACAATCAAAAAATTGTACGTTGCTAAATCATTCTGAGGTTTATTTGCATCTAGTCATAGTATTATAGTTCGAGAAGCTGGAAAAATGGAAGTTCTATCAAAAAGAATAGCAGTTATGTTCTCCCTCTTGATTGCATTCTTGAAAAATGAATGAAAATCGTCAGAATACGTATTATCCACGTATAATATTCTGTTATTTTTATTACATAGTTTTATTGATTTTCAACTTTCATCATACAACTAGCCTTAACTCATACGCGCTCTATTGATAGATACTACATGATTTGTTTAGAATATTTTTCTTGAAGATGGTTTTATTTTCGCAGGCTAAAAAATTGCTCCGCGTCGTAAAAGATGCGAACAGTTAATTGCTGTTACATTTTATGTTATCCTAGCATGATTATTTCAGTGACGTACGGTCGCGGAACTGCAGTGGCTTTTAATAATTTATTGGTCATTTAGTTAACACATAAGGTTACATTTAATAATTTATTGGTCGTTTTTTTATTTTTAGTTTACACATAAGTTTACACTTCCCATGTCTTATTTTCCTACTTCTAATCATGATATATAAAACACGGCACATAAAAACCTTATAATAAAAGTAAATAAAAAATGTAAAAGTACAAGCACGTATAATGTTTGGGTTATCCTTCCGGGTTTCCTTTAAGCTGAAGTGCCGCCCTCATTCGGAAATGGTACTTTCCATCAAAGTTACCGAAATGGGCCGAGGATTAGAAAAAATGCAGATGGTTTAGTAATATCAAGAAATTAGTGCGGAACGGTAGGATTTACGCCCAATGATCCCAGTTTTGTCGGCGCCCCAGGCGACATTCTAGCTAAGCCTATATGTGACTAAGAATTTAAAAGCAAATACATTTTTCAAATGATCATATGGTGAATTTACTACCCGTTTTCTTTGCTTCTAAATACTTCGTGAACTTGCGATTTAAGCAGACTATTGATATAAGCCTATATGTTGTCACGAAGCCTATATATTCGCAAACCTATTTTTTTATCCACCTTGGATTCAACACTACTCGTCTTCGATCTTGCTTCATATTATATAAGCGAAGGCTTCAACCTGAGCTTTCAAATATTTTTTAGGTGTCCTACTTTCATAATTTATAATATTATAATGCTATTTGCTATTGTATTTATAGCCTTTAAGAATGCAAATAAAGAAACGAATTTCCGTAGCTCTCAAATACCATTGGATGATTATGCGGCTATGAAAATGTCCACGAGATTCATATCCCTCTACTGAATTGACTACTCTAAAAGACACTGAAATGTAATGATACTTTTCCCGTTTTGAGACTTTTAATTGTTTAAAAACTTTTCCAATATAGTGTCATTCACGTGTTTTCTTTGTTTAATTTGATATTAAATGGCATGCCGTCTATAATTTCGTGAACATCTGACAAGAAAGACTCTTTACGCAATTATATTAATTTCTCTTCAATGACACACATCACTTGGAGCCGAATTGCACTAGTATTTCAAGACATTCATGGCACGACTATGTTGGAGAATTCAATTAAGATTCTGATGGATGCCGTCTCGCTTGTTAAGAAATTCTGTGTCTTAAAGTCTGCATTATGTCATTAATGTTTAAAAAGATGAGAGTTTGTCAAAATGAGTGTTCTTTCTCTGCTCAAAATGTTTTAAGAACAGGTAATGAATAACTATTCATTACCCGAAAGCGACATTCAGAAAACTATTCATTATTCAGAAAAGCGACAAATGATAACCCATCACAGGGAGAAAAATTGTAAAGTTTAAAATTGATATGGATTGCTTTTAAGGACCACGTTTAATTCGAGTTAATGCACATATCGCATGTGCCGATAGCAGTTACATTGCATGTTACTTGCATTAAATATTGTGGATTATTGTTTCTTTAACTATTGTTCATATTGCATTCATATTATTGACCTTCCAAAATACTTGACTGAACAATCGCCGCTATTGAATAATGGTCATTTTCTTTCAGCGGTGTTCTCAAAATGTTTCTAAAATCCCGCAATTTGATTCTGCCTCCTCTAGATATCATTTCTGCGATAGAGTTCCTTAGATATTAGTTGGCATATCGTCAAAACTGCTGGCGTGCTCGCTAAGCTGCTTTGGACAATTTGATAAAGTTCGACAGTTCTTTTAGATTCAATTTGTGTG